CAAATCAGATGATGCTAAATCTCTTTTAATTATATCTAACCACACATCATTAAATTCTTTAATATTAAATTGAAGAATTCAATGATTAACACGTGTTTCAAAATTAGCTATTAAAAAAATCTTGATTTCTGCATTAAGAAGTATATTAAATATAGCATCTCGGCCTGCTACAATATATCCTTTTTGTTTTGTGATCTCACGAATAACTTTGTTAATAGCTTCACAAATATTAATATTATTTGCAATCTTAGTTAATAATTCATTAGAAATTAATTGTGTTAATATATTTTCTTCTTGTTGATCTAACAACTATAAAATTATTCTGATTTCTTCTAAATTAGAAAAATTTAATACAATATAATGATAAAATAATCCACTATCAATAAACTGATAATTTAATCTTTCTGCCAATAATTCACCCACACTTGATTTGCCTGAAGCTATATATCTATTAATTGCAATATTAATTTTTGTCATGACAAATAAAAATAAATAATAGAATAATTAATAGAATAATGATATAATTAAATATAAAATAAAATTTAATAAAAAAAAAAAAATTTTTAACAATTAATTCAACAACCATTTTTATGTAATTAAAACTCTAATCAGTTAATTTACTGATTAGATTTAATCTTTATTTTTCATTTTGATTAAATAAATAATTAAAATTAATTGCTAGAATTGTAACTCTGTTTTAATTTTTTTTAAATTATAATAATGATAAATATCTATTTGATTAAACAAAATTATAAATTTATTATGAAATTTTTGAGCTTCTTTATAGTTTTTCTGTTAAAAACATATTCCTCTTTTAGTTTTTCTGATTCTTCATGAAATTTTTGCATAAATTGCTCCATAATTTACACAATTAAATTTCTAATTAGTTATCAACTGATTAGATATTTTATAATAAATAACTAAATAGAATAATCTTCAATAATAATCGATAAATCAGTTTTAAAATTATGTAATTTTAATTTTATATTATGGGAAATTATAGGCATCTTCTGCGGGGGATATATAGCTTATATATCTCCCACATATCGATCAATAGAAAATGTCGATTTACATGCCTTCAAATGTATGTAACTTATGTGAAACGCGACTGCATGTTATATATAAATCATACAAAAAACTTATGCCTATCGTCACTTAAATAGCTTTGTGCATCCAACGAAGTACGCCAAATAAAACAAGAGAATAGTAAACAATTGAAATTTTACATATAATTCACTTTACGCACGTATGTAATAGTTTTTGTTTAGAAGTTGAATCTTTCTGCTATAAAAGTCATAAACAGTCACAAGCTACTTTCAATCTCTTGTTTCTATGAAAGACTAAAACACAATTGGCTTGAGCAGGACTTCAGCTCTGGGGTGACTAAACCCTAATGGCTCGTCATTGTGTATTGGGTGTTTGTTATTAATTCTTTGATGACTGTAAATAACTATATTTTTCGACAGAATCAAATTAAACTATATTTTCCGACAGAATCAAATTAGTTCGTCCATACCAAAACTCTGGCAAAATTCATATCTCAAATTTTATTACAATTTCATATATGTATAGCTGCCTATAATATATAGAAAGCAAAACTTCGAAGACTTTTTTTTGATTCAAAAATTTTTTTTTTACGCTCTTTTTTTTTTTTACGCTCTTTTTTTTTTTTTCACGCTCGTTTTTTTTTTTTCTCATTTGTTTTTTTTTTTCATGCTTTTTTTTTTTTTTTTTT